TTGTTTACAAGATAAAAGGAATTTTCAGTGGCTTTATTGCTTGACATTTTATTGTAAAATTATTTTTTAAATTACTTCTCTGTTCAAATGCAGTTTACAAATGGCAGAAATTAACCCATGGAATGTTGTGATTCTGAAATAAATGCATTTTTGTTTTTAGTGGTGAAAGGTAGTAAGGTAGATAGAAGAATTTTCATAGATGTTATTCTTTATTGGTAGAAGAGCTTGACCCAAGGTGTAACTTGTTTTATCATGACTTTTGTCTTTCTTTTACTTTTCATACATAATATGTTCTGAAAACATGTTTCAGAGATTTCAGTCTCTGAAATAGTAATATAAGCACCCTGCTGTTGTTAACTGCTATTAAGTTGGCCACCGACTGATGACACCACCATGCACAAAGGGATCGGACTCTTGTGATCCATGGAATTATTATTGACTGATTTTCAGAGGTATATTGCCAGGCCTTTCTCCCTAGTCTCTTAATGTGGAAGCTGCATTGAAACCTATTCAGTATCATAGCAACACGTAAGCCTCCACAGGTGGTGGCTATGCTTGAGGTGTATTGACCGGGAATCAGAGCTGGGTGTCTTGCATGGAAGGCAAAAATTCTACCACTGAACCACCACTGCCCTTCATAAGTGCCCTAGAGGACTATAAAGGGAGAGCTGGTGGCACAGTGGTTAAAGCGCTCAGCTGCTAACCGAAAGGTTGGCAGTTAGAACCCACCAGCAGCTCCGCGGGAGAAAGACGTGGCAGTCTGCTTCTGTAAAGATTTACAGCCTTGGAAACTCTAGGGGGCAGTTCTACTCTGTCTTACAGGTCACTATGAGTCAGAATCGACTCATCATCCATGAGTTTGATTTTTGTTTTGTTTTTTTTTAAGAGACCTATTATATATATAAGGAAACCCTGGTGGCGTAGTGGTTAAGTGCTACAGCTGCTAACCAAAAGGTCGGCAGTTTGAATCCACCAGGAGCTCCTTGGAAGCTCTATGGAGCCGTTCTAATCTGTCTTAAAGGGTCGCTATGAGTCAGAATCAACTCGATGGCAACGGGTTTGTTTTTTATTTTTTTAAATATAATATTTCCAAATATGATGGTATATTTGCTGCTTCCCTCAGCGCTGGCAACCCGATGGTTGGGTAAGAATCTTCCCAGGCTCTGGAGCCTGGGGTCAGGTTTCCTGGTGTTAAAAGATAATTTTTTTTAAAAAGAAGGTAAAAGTGTGATCCCATACAAATTAACACGTCAAAGATTTTATCTAATTTACTAATTAATGAGGGAACCAGTAAGATGTTACAACCAGTTCAAAGGAGAATTTAAGCAGCAGTACACATATACAGGTAATCGGGAATGCTGAAGTGAATTTACAAATAAATGCAAAACTGATCAGTTTTCACAGGACAATAATCAATTGTATTCCACCAGACAATATTAATTTTCATTTCTATGGGAAAGAATCATTTGCATTACTATAAGTTTTCTACAATTTGCAGAGTTGTAAAATAGCTCAAAGACAATGAGGTATTGTATAAGGTAATCTGGAAGGATGTGCTGGACAGGACACCCAGTTTTTTGTGTTTTTTTGTCCATTTCAGTGCTTTTCACAATTTTCATGACCATCTCCACCTTGTGATTATAATAATCACAAGAAATGATTACTCTTGACAATAAAAAAGTTGATGTAGCCTTACATAGGTGCAGCAAGAGGATTAATTATACATACAGATCACCTTGGGTTTGCTTTTGCAAATCTGAGCCGTTCAGTATTGGACATCCATGAAGGTTACAAAATTGACTTCTGTCTGAAGTGGTCATTAGGACTCGTGGCATGGACTTTTAAAAGCCTCTATTATTTGCTGTCTTGAGGCTAGGGAACCAAGCCTAAGAAACTCCACTAGATTTCACCTGTAGTACCTACACATTTGGGCAAGTTCCTCTTTTCTTGAAGTTCCCAAAATTTACTAAAGTTTCTGGCCTGTGAAGAAGTGACCTTGCTTATTATCTGTAAGGGACCTAGAAACCAGGTTTTTTGTTGAAGTGTTACTATTATAATTAATTTTTTATCATCTCTATTTTTATAAGGTGAGAGACAAAAATCTTTGTGATTTTCCAGGAGTCATCTAGGAAATCTCAAAGGTAGTTTTCGGTGTAAAAGATACCCTAAAATTTTTATTTTATTTTTTCTATATTTTGGATCCATTTTGGGAAGGCAAAAAAAAAAAAAAAGTTATCAGAGGAGATTTGGGTACTTGATTAAGATAGTACCATAAGGTGCCTTCGAAACAATGCTTGTTTACCTGTTTGGTCGAAGTGACAACAAACATTTAAAAATAAACCAAAAGTA